TACGCAAGTACATTGCTATTTCTGGCATTTAACCCTTGGAAGTAATAAAAAAAGTAACAAGACAGAAATGCAAAAGGAAAAGAAGAATAATGATATACATAATACCCTGAGAAGGAAGGCGATGCAGTCATCAAATTGTTTGTGAATGCGGTCGACTTCCTTGTCACATCTGGCCTTGATTGCAGAAACAGCTCCACCGCTACTCAAAGTCTGCTGCACCGAGTAGAAGTCTAGTGCTAGTCCAAGTATACTGTTGATCCGGCTCGCAATCAACACCCACTGTCAACCAACAAACACCAATCTACTTTCATTCTTTATTATACTCAAATTCCAGAATCCAACTACAAACAACTTTTCATTGCCAGCTATCACTTTCAAACTCAGGTGTCTTAAAATGAAGGTTCATAACACTAACACTAACACCAACACTATTTAGAAAGTAGGTTGCTATTTCTTGTTACTATTTAGTAAGTAGAAAAATCATCTTGTTAAGTGATTACAAACTGACCAGCTTGTCTGGAACTACAAAGCACTGGCGTTGAATTGACAGCAAGTATGCCTCATGAACCTCAATCACTTCATCAAGAGATCCGGCAGCTGCCATTCCTTCACATAATTCACGCCATGCGCTATGGTATACCTATGTTCACATCACCCAAACCAACATTTCTTCATATTACTTACACCATTCTACTTTAAAAAAAAAAAAAATTACAGCAGCTAGATTTTTCAAAGTACTGTCCTCCTAATAAGAAAGAAGTCAAAGTACAATGCAGAATATCTTCAAATAATAGGAAAAAACTTTGCCCTAAATAATAATTCTAAGGTAGGTGTAGACTGTAGACTGTAGAGGAGGTTATTAGTTACCCTGTCCATAACATATTGATGAAACGCATCAACGAAATGAAGAAGTTTTTGCTCCACCAACCATCTATGCTTGCGATTGACTGTTGGTGTACCTCGTTCCTGGAAACATAAAAAAAGTAAAACAATCATCCTATATGAATATGAAACTGCAACTTATAAAATGTCAATGTCATGGTGACTGCCGTTTCAGGTTACATACCATAGTCCATACTTTAAGAGATTAAGTTTAACTGTAACATAAACATTCAAGTATTTTGAACAAAGTATACTATACTACTACTATATCATGTAGGAGTACCCACCTTCCACATCCATCTTCGAGCTTTATCCAGGACAAATTTTGCACGCTTAACCCTCAATAAGAAATTCATCACCTGCTTATTATTAGCGTATGTATAAATAATCAAACTCACCAAGTAGACAAAAAGACAAAAGACACTACCTGGTTGTATTTCTTTAGAGTTTCAGCATTAGCTATAAGTTCAAGCGGCCACGAGACCTACAATGAAAAAGACATGATCTTGATTATAGTCACAATTCTTATTTTCTTTCTATCCAGCAGCATGAAATGAAGTGTAGTTATTACTTATTAGTTAGTCACCTTGTATGTGAAGTTAAGGGAGTCAAGGTCATTGATTCCAGAGACCTGTGCACGATGATTTTTACGGGGACTTGAGACAAGAAATGATGATGCAGTAGTAGTAGTCTGTTGAGCATCTCCATCACTTTTTGTTAAAGATACAACTAAGGAATCTGGTGAGCTTAGTACTGTGGCATCAGCAGAGTTGCGTATCGAGTCCTGAAAACTCATTCATTCATTCAGTAACTGTAAGCATCAATATACAACAATATCAACCATTAAGCCATACCTGTAACACTGTGTTCAACTCAAAATCATCGTCCCATGATTCTCCTTTGTCCAGCTTATTGAAAACTACTGTCAAGAAATGCTGCAGAAGATCACCTGCTTCCAACAAACCTTTCAGAATTTAGAATTCTCTTTTTAATATTATTAGCAGCAAAGCCAATAAGCACTACCAGAGCCTAACAAATATACATCACGCAGCACTCCCAGCTCAGCCATCAATTTCCAGTCATATAGCAACTTTGACAATATCTGATTGCCGATATGATCTACCTGAAACATTATTAGAATATGTAAATACAATTTACAATTTACAATTACATGCAGTCAAATATACCTGCTTCTTGATATAAAACGTAAGGCATTCCCTCAAAATAACAACAGGAAGTGGAGTAGATTTTGGTTCAACAGTTTGAATCCAGCCAAGGACTTTTGACACAAGGGTGCTGTTTTTTTGGAATGGTAAAACCTCCGACATCATAAGCTCCTCCTGTTTCCACTTGTACGTCAAAAACAAAGTAAAAAAATAAAAAATTATAATTTACTAGATTAAAATATATATATATATATATATGTGTGTGTTACCTTAAAGGACGGAAGGATAGTCGGAAATGGAAATAAAGATTCCACCACCTTTATGCCATGTTGAGCGCGAGGATCACCAAATGGAAAACCACAGGCATAATTTGTTCCTTTAGCTGTCATAAACTCTTCACCATATATAGCTTTCCTCAATTTGTCATCATTCAAAGGAGGGAGAATGTAGTTTTTAGAAAGGTTTAATGAATTCCAATCGTGGGTATTTGCTTTTGCTTGAAGAACCTTTTGGCATACAGTTATAGTGGGATTTTCAGGACAAAAGGAGCTAAGAAGAGGCTGAAATGGAACAACCAAATCTAGATTCTGTTCTACTTTCATGTCGTTGTTGAGTGCATCAACCAAAAACTTATGCCAAATCTTCTCCGAGTATGCTGCTAATAATTTCTCCGTTGAAGTTGCAGAAACAATTTTATCATTTTTCCAAAAGATTTCAGACATGTGATCACCATGACCGATCAGAGCTGTTAATGACAAACAAAATATTTCTGACAAGCTTAGCTGATGAGTCATGCTCTCGTGATGCCTACCAACAAGTGTTGATGTGATAGGAATATGCTGGATCAACTGCAACGACTTTCCAGCTGAAATTATTTCTTTTGCAATATCTTTCAAGAACAAAGGACAAACCACTAGATCATACTCATTTTGCCCCCTTGTTTTTGATGCTACTTTTCCAGACATCTTTTTCTGTGTCAAGGGAAATAAATCACTCACGTGAGCCGCACTTAGCTTCTTATGCTGTGTTGATCTTAACAGGTAACTCTTCTCCCAGAATTCAGCCTCGTCTATACCAATCGTTTTGTTTGCATAAAAGAACATCTGCCAAAAGAAAATATAAATAAAGAATACAATTAGTTAGTTAGTTAGTTAGTGTTTGGTATGATGATGGAAACAGGACCATGGTTAGAAGATAAGACTTGCACCAGAAATCATTCGAATTGGTATAAACAGGTAGGGGTGAAATTGAAATTGAAATTGAAATTACCTCCTCAAAGGGATCATCTAGTATTCCCTCAAAAATCCAGGAATCAAGAACCTCAATATATGGCAGTAAACATCCAACAAAGATATAGAGTAGCATCCTGTATGAATCTTCCTGTGTAAATAGCAGCAAAATGTATAGCTTTTTTAATCAACACTAACAACAGAAACTGAGTATCAAATGACCAATTAAGTGCCACAACCTCACCACCTTGCACAAGGCAAGCATCATTAAGCTTTTCATAAAGATGGTTGAGAATGTGAACGGCCGTTTCAGCAGATGAGAGAGGTGTATCACCTTCAATCGGGATGGCACCATGCACTATCTGCAATAAATATTCTGCTCCACCACAAAGCCTAAACATAAACATTGATTAAACATGATGTTTTTATGCATTCACCATTCATAAAATAAATCCCAAACACTTCACATACCTTGTTAAAGAATTTCCCAATCCCAAAATGGTCGGAGCAGTCCCAGTATTAGAGTTGTTCATCTTTAGTTCCTCTGTCAAAGCAATATCGCGTAATTTCTGCTCTAAGGAGAAATCACTAATAATCAGAAGCATACAACAGAACACAACGCAATGCCTGAATGTGTTGTGTGTCGTTACTTACTCTAAGCCAAGCAGAAGCTGAGGAAGCGAATGCTCTCAAGGTAGGTGGAGGCGACCTCGACCTGCCAGACATATCTTCTATCTCACAGAGCCTAAGCTCTACCAATTTCAAGCATGTTGCTGAATAAACAAATTGATCCAAGACCATACCAAGACTTGTCTGAGAGAGATGCGTAACATATAACCCCTTTCTCGCACGATAACCCTGCCCGATCCCCTTCTCCCAGTAAAACAAACAGCTTGAAAACCCTTGAAGTATCTGTAAAACACCTCTCACCTAAAACCCAATAAACGCACTAAGGATACTGCTTGATAACCAAAATGCGCGGAAAATCAAAATCTAACATACCAGATCAAATTCGTTTGTACGAGAACCAGGTAAGGGGGAAGCGAAATGCAAGGAACTAGTGAATTCACTGTTGATCTTGTCGATGAAACTTTTAGAAACTTCCATTTTTTTCAGTCTATGGCCAACAAAATGCCAATACAAGCCCTATGTGGTACCCTAATTCTGAATGGGAACCGATCGACGGCGATTCATAGATTTTTCCGGCTGCCGGATGTTCGCCGAGGTTAGCAGACCTAGGAGATCAGTTCAAAAAGCGCGAAGAAATTGAAAATCCACAATAAAGAATCGCAACAACCATGCCTGAAGCCCGTTTAACAAGCGGGTTGGATTATATATCAATTTAGGTTTTTTAAGGTTTATTAATCGAGTTTTAACCAAAAAAAAAAAAAGGAACTTAAGGTGTTGTTTGGATTGTATGATCTCTTAATTAAGGTGTTGTTTGGTTGTATGATGCCGTGGAATTAGAATTTGAAAAAAAAAGTGTCATGAATTTGAAACCGATTTCATATCATATCATGTTTTCATTAAATAGAATTGAAATTCATTTCAGATTATGTTTGGTTCGTAGAAAATAAAATTGAAATCCATATGAAATGATATAATTGCTCTTTTGTCTCGTTGCTTAATTTTATTTCATTTTCTAATTTATCTGTGAAGATATATTATAGAGAAAATGACAAATTTAGCCAAATATACTAATTACTTTGTGGGAAATAGCCAAAAAAATTGAAATTGCAAATTTGGCCACCGAAATCGCAGATGGGAATGGTCCGTCTGCGATTTTCACATCCCATCTGCGAATGTACAAGTGGCTAAAGCACAGACGTGCTTTAGCCACTTGTACATTCGCAGTGGGGTATTTTTTTAATTTTTTTTTGTATATATATAGGGTTTACCAGGCTAAAATCGCAGATGGACTGTGTCCATCTGCGATTTCCTCTCTTTGATCTGCGATTTTATGTTTTTTTTTTGTTTTTTTTTATTTTGATTATGAAATCAATGTTTGACTATGAAATAACCTTATTATATATAAACTTTTGTAGAAAATTATCAGTTTACTTGTTATTTCTTTAGGAAATTTCTTTAAAATCTCTCTAAAAAAATGATTCAATATTTGGTTTGTCTTGTAACTGGTGGGAGATGGTAAGTTATTGAAACAAATTTGGAATACGTATGTCCACAGGGAGGTATATCTGAATTCGCTTTGATATTTTCTGAGTATATTAGTTATAGTGATTTTGTATCTTTGGTGAGAAGCAAAATTGATTTGTTAGACAAATATAGAATTAGTCTTCGTTTCCATCATCCTGAATTGAATTATTATATAGTCATAGTTGAAGACATGGATGTTAGAATGTTGATAAATGTAGTCAAATGTAGTGGAGGAAGGGCTGTGAAAGTGTTTGTGGTGGTTGATGAAGGAGATGAGGTTAATGAGGCTGGTCAGAGTGGAAATCAGCTGGTTGGTAATTTATGCAGCTATAAAGGGAGCAACGATCCGATAGGGACTTTCAATACTCCCAGTGTACCTCAATTTCACAGTGTTGCTGAAAATGTTAATGTTACTTATTCACCTATTCACTATGTGGATCCTGAGAATTACAAGTATGTTGGTGATGATGATGTTGATACATATCTTAATGACGTGGGTGGTCGTTGTGTTGATGTTCCTGAACAAGAAGTTAAAGTTATGAATAGACGTGTAGTAGATAAAAGTAAAAAGAAAAAAATGATGCGTCAAAAAGATGAAAAAAAGCATGTTTATGGGGATTATGCTGATGTTGCTGATGTAGCTTTAGATATAACCGACTTAGAAAGCAATTCAGATGGAGATGAGTTGGGTGATGAAGTTAAAGCTAAGTTTCCTGATAACCTTTTTTACGGTATGCCCCCTCTACCAGCATGTCCAGTTGATATTAATGAAGATATCCCAACACAGATGGTAGACATCAATCTTCAAAAGATTGAATGTGAGAGTATATTTAAGAACAAAGAACTTTTAAAGCGGGCTATTGGTAAAAAATGTCTTCGAGAAGGTTTTCAGACGAGGACAAGTAGATCCACCAAATCAAGGTATGAGGTTGTGTGTGTTTCGAAAAATTGTTCTTGGTTACTAAGAGAAAAAGCAATTAAAAATTTTGATGGACTTTTCCAAGTGAATAAATTTGTTGATGTACACACATGTTCTTCAACAATTTTGCAACCTAATCATCGACAAGCAAACAAATATGTTTTGGGTGAATATCTTGCTGATGTTTTGCCTGAAGATTATAGTAGAGTTTATCGGGGAAAAGATATTATTAATGATATGAATGCTCAATTGAATATCAATATCTCATACCATCAGGCATGGCGTGCGAAACAATATGCATTGTTGTTGTTAAGGGGTACGAAAGAGGATTCTTTTACCAAACTTCCGGCTTATTTCCACAATTTGGTCAAACATAATCCGGGTACGGTGACACATATTAAAACAGATAGTGATGATCGCTTTGAGTTTTTGTACGTCGCACTTGGTTGTTCGATTAGTATTTTAATATTTTTTTATTTTTTTATTTTTATTTTGGTGTATTTGAATAGATATACAATGTATTGTAGGTATGCGCTTTTGTCAATTTTTGTAAACCGACCCTTGTAGTAAATGGAGCCCACCTAAAGGGTGAGTTCAAAGGTACCATGGTACTTGCAGTTACTAAGGACAGACAAAACCAAATATTACCGGTTGCATATGGTATATGCAAAAATGAGTGTACAGATTCTTGGACATGGTTTTTTTTCAAAAACTACGTGATTGCATAGGCAATATGCAGGAGCTTACAATTATATCTGATAGGTCTCCATCTATAGCGACATCCGTTGCCAACATTTTTCCTCACGCTCATCACGGAATATGTGGTGTCCATTTGTATTTCAACATAGTATCTAGATTCGGGAAGAGTAAGACAGTTAAAGGAATTTTTTGGGAGGCTTGTAGGGCGTATACAGTTGATGCTTTGACGTTGCCATGGAACTTATGAAAAAGACAAAAGAACCAGTATGGGAATACTTAAAAAGTATAAATCCAGAAACTTGTTCTAGGGCACATTTTAGAGGGAACCGATACAATCTTATGTCGTCCAACAGTGCGGAGTCTATAAATGCATTATCTAGACACGCACGTAAGGTGCCGATACTTATGTTGATCGATTTTTTTCGTGCAACAATGCAACAATGGTGGTTTCAAAGACGTAACTTTGCAGGTATTAAGTTAATTTTTAATATTAATGTTTTATTAAATGTTATTGATCTTAACTTCTTCATTTTGTCTATTTTTTAAGCGGAAGCAACAACAACACTTACCCCTTGGGCCGATGATATTGTAAAAGAAAACAAAAAAACTTTTACTAAGTGGGATGTTCGCATGATCTCAAATATGAAATGTGAGGTCAAAAAGGGGGCACAAAACGTGATTGTTGATTTCCAACAAATGACATGTACATGTAGGCATTGGCAACTTGATGGGATGCCTTGTGGTCATGTCACAAAAAGTGATTGTTGATTTCCAACAAATGACATGTACATTAGGATTTGTTCTTTGAAGATTATGCAAGAATATTGGTAGCTGGGAAAAGCTTCTTTCGGTGTAAGTACTCATTTTCACAAGCAATGAAAGTGTTTTACAATCATCACACGAATCCAATTATAATTATATACAAATTGGTGTTTCTCTACAGTTCATACTTCATAGTTTAACTTTTTAAATTCATAGTCAAACCAGTTCATTTCATAGTCAAACATCACTGGCCGACAAGACAAGACAAGACAATGTATTTGTCTATAGTTCATAGTTCAACTTTTTAAATTCATAGTCAAACCAGTTCATTTCATAGTCAAACATCACTGACCGACAAGACAAGACAAGACAAGACAATGTACTTGTCTACAGTTCATAGTTCAACTTTTTGAATTCATAGTCAAACATACTTGTCTGTAATAAAATTTCTTCTATAAATGGGTGTAAAGTCACTCCATGAAATTTATTTGTGAAAGTAAGTCATATTTGATAGAATAAATAAGGCGAATGGCATACTGTAATTGCGGAGGTGAACGTATCATTAGGATTTCGGGTACAGCTAAAAACCCAGGAAGATTATTTTACGCTTGCCCATATATGGTATCATGTTCTTAACTTCATTCATATTTACACCCTCATGATTATATGGCAACAATTCTTATTCTCAATGTTTAAATTTACAGGGACCAAAATGCGGGCTTATCAGTTGGGTTGATGAAGAGAAGGACCAATCATCTATGGTAAAAGCTAAAGTAGCTAACTCTAATAAGCACTTTCAATCAGAAAATAAGAAGTTAAAGATAGCCTTGGTTTGTAGTTGGGTGTTGTTTTTGGCAATTATTGTTTACAAGTTGTAAGCTTTTTAATATTGTTTTGATAGTTTTGAAGTTGTTACGTCAATAAATTGTTGCATTTGTTGTTATGTTTAGAGCAGTGTACTTGTAACGTTAAAACAAATGGTGGTGTCGTTGTTATGTTGTAAGTATTGAAGTTATTAGTATGTCATTAAATCCAACATTCAATTACATATACAAATATATAATCCAACTACATAGGACCAAGACTCGACCCCCAATAAATTTTTGCCATCCGTTGGCGAAACTCTAAAGTTGCGTTCCTTGGGTCAATAAGTTCACATATTGGTTGACCTGAAACTAATTGTTCCATAAACATACAAACAAAAACACCGCAATCTCCCAAATGACTACTTTGTTGGGGAACATTTGTTTCGAAAATGAATTGCATATTCAATGGAATCCTAGGGATGTTCCTCCGGGCCCGATAGTCAATCTTGTCTAAATAATCTGCCACCGAGCTTCAAATTTGGTAAAGGTTCCATCAGAGTTGAATTTTTCATAAGCCCCTCTACCGAGACTGTCATAAAGATGGACTTCCATTGACGCCAATCGTAGTTCCCCAAATAACCAGTGATTTAGGGGATGAATGAATCGACATTAGGACCTGTATAATGTAAAAAAAAAATTATGTTTACATATCAGAATACAAAAACATAACGACAATAACGAAAAAAATTTCAAAAAATAAAATTTAGTTTACCGTATCGACATCCCACCAAGCAACCATGAAGTTGGGGTATGTAGCAATACCAAACATAAATGCCCTCCAATCGCACCCATCCTCCAGAACATGGCAAGCAAAAAAAATTTGGAGGCATTATTGTATGTCGGTCGCTATCAAAACGTCTCTCCATCAGTAGTCTATACCAAATGGTCATATGCTGCACAAAATTATGATACTTTTGTTAATAATTAAAAAACAAAAAACTTTTAAAATAATAAATTAAAAATTATTTTA